GTGGTGGCGCCCAGGGCTTGTCTCCCTTGGCGCACGCAGAGACCGTGGAAACGGCTCGCGCGCCCCACCGCGCGGAACGTGGCGAAGTGCGCGACAAAATCGCGATCGGCTGCCGCAGGCAGCAGCGCGCAGGGGCGCTGCACCCCGGCGCGTTGTTTAACCGAGCCCTGGCCGCGCCGGTCGCGATGTGTTTTTTTTACCCAACTTTTGCCCTTTTTGCTTGTTCGTGCCGCATCCGGCGCCACAGCACAGCTCGGTGTGTCATGTGTGCAGTGCGTGCACAGCTCGGGGGCGCGCCGGCCGGCCGTACGCGCGGAGCAGGGGGGCAGCACGTACAAGCATCACGCAACAGGACATGCAACCAAGTTGCACTTTTCAAGGACGCATGCAGCTAGTATCGGCTAGCAACCGGTTAGTTTTAATCTCGGCCGGCCGGCTGGTTGGCTGGCTAGTTTTATCCTTCCGATGTTAGCTGCCTGCCTGCCAAAATGATTCAAACATATGAGGAGAGAGTAGGATACCCTGTAGCAATTAGCAAAGCATGTGCACGGATAGCTAGCTCTACCAAGTACCAACAACACGGTCAAGATTCAAGAGAGTTAGCTTTGCCGGTCAGTTGGCTAAATTTGGTTACTGTTTTTTCCTGTCCTTTCGGGGAGTACTAAATTGAAGTAGGATTGCAGGTGGCCGGCTGGGGTTAAGCAACATGACGGTGGTTGTGATGGCATTAGGCCGAATCATATCATGGCACCCACAATGTTTATCTATAGGCTCTCTACAAGAGATCCATGTCAGCATATTTTCCTACCTGAAAGAGATTAAATGAAGAGAGAGAGCAAAGCTATCTACTAACCTGGAGATAGTCTATAAAGAAAAATGAGACAATGGATTAGAGAGCTATAGATACCCATGTAGACATACCATTGAAGTGGTTTACTATTAATCTAGTCTATTGCTGAGATGTACATGTTTTATATATTTTATAGATAACACTTTACTTTACCATTGCGGGTGCTCCCAGGACTCTCTCTTCCCAGGGCTTCCCATCCAATGGGGACAGCCTCTGACTCGGAATAGCATGCTTCCCTCTCATCACACGACCACACAAATATATGCACGCACAATCGTGGCCTTGTCCAATGTGTCCAACCAGCTGGACCCCAAGTATCAGAGATATATAGCACGTAGGATTACCTAAAGCGGGACATAAGAGAAAGTTTAATAGTATAGCCAACTACTAACTTCAATTCATTTATAGCCAATCTAACAGCTCATTCATACAATAGTTATATGCTACACTATTAATATCTGGTCCCACTTGTCATACACACACTGTCTTGGAGTCCGTGCTACAGCTGGCTACAAGTATGTAGCTCGCTGCTTTTCTCTTTCATCATTTATCTGCTTAAAATATATTTGCAGCTGGCTTATAGCCTGCTATTGTACCTGCTCTAAGTATCTACTCCTACATCACACTGAAAAAAGTACTAATAACCGGGCTGTTAAATATGTTAGCCTCAGCCGTGTGCCCATCATAGCTACCTTAACTACGCACTCTATGTTGTTGGAGCCCAAGTATTAATTTGGCAATTTGCATGCCCAAGTGCATGCCTTTTTCTCAGGTTCCAAATGCTATAGCTTTGCACTAGATGCACGGAAATATCTTCAGTTTAACTGACTGTACTATCTAGCACCCTACAACACTCGTGCGCTCCAAAGCTGGTAGTTACTAAAAAAAACGCAGATGATAAAGAAAACAAAACAAACGAAGAAAGGAAATAAAGCAGCTTTGGCCAGCATGCACGTACTCCACGCTACTACCTTGTACACCACCTTCTCTAAAAATTTCCAAATCAATCTAGCTAGCCAGCGAGTTGGCCAGAGAAAAAAAATCCGAGCTTAATATAGCTCCACGAGTTTAATACAAAATTACAAATGCAAGGTGTTTTGACATTGACAGCGAGTGCTAAAGTGGCAAAAATGGGGCGAATTAATTTGCCACGAGGCGTTTCTTTCTCGCCGGGCAGAGTAGCTTGCCACTTTTAACGTGGCAATTAACTATTTATCACTAGATTCACATGTCATAAACACATATGGACCCATATATTATTGAGATAGGGGTGACAAAAATGACAAATCTAAAAGTGTCAAATAGTTAAATGTCCTGCTGCTAGCAGGAGCAGCATTAACACTGTATAACACGCGCAATTTACCAATCAAAAAATAATTAAAAAAAAAAGCAATTCACCAACACTGTATAACACACATGCTAATGGGCCCCGGAGTTTCCCCTATCCTGCAAACAAATTACTGCAAAGCAGAGGTACGAACCAACCCAACACGAGGCCGGGGTCTGGTAGGGACGAGGACGGCAGAAGCTTGCGCTGTACTCAAAGTCCCCAGCAGCACGAGCTCCCCTCACCCTAGCTCAGCAACTCCCCTCTTCATACGCGCGCAGTACACGTACACTAGCTTAAGGGTATAAGTGCTTAACTCACTTGTACATCAAAATATATAAACGGTTCATATACTATTTTAACATAAGTTTATGGGTTAACCACTTACATCCTTACACTAGCTCACCTCTTCAATCTCACACGGTACACGTACACTAGCTGGTAGCCTGGTACACATACACTAAGGGTGTGTTTGAGGAGAAGGGGATTAAGGAGATTGGGAAGATACGCAAAACGAGGTGAACCATTAGCTCATGATTAATTGAGTATTAACTATTTTAAATTTCAAAAATGGATTAATATGATTTTTTAAAGCAACTTTCATATAGAAAATTTTTGCAAAAAACACATTGTTTAATAGTTTGGGAAGCGTGCGCGCGGAAAACAATGTGCATTCTCACTCCCTATCACCCAAACAAACACAGCCTAAGAGTGTTTGAAAAATGGATTAGAAGAGTAGGGTTAATTAGAAAATGAAAATGAATGTAGGGATAGAATAAAATAGAGTTAAATGAATGGATAACTAAGATTAAAACTTAAGGGTGAGAAATTATATCCCAGATCCATTTTCCAAACGTTGCCTAGATGCATGCTCGATCTTCCACACGTACCGCTCGTACACTGCACGGTTCGATTTTAACTCGTTTTGCCCGGTGGTTAATTTCCATGGTCGAGTTCCAACGACATTCCCGTGTTTTTTTCCCCCACGGCTTCCTCGCTTGCTTGCCACGCAACCGGCCTCCTCGCTCTGTAGCCGAGTACCTTAAATTTTTCGACGGGACAGACCGAGGCAGGGGCGGGGCTTGCTTTGCTTGCTGCCGCTGCCGCTGTGACTGGGAGGGAGAGATTTCGGGGTTCGGGAAGCAGGGCCGATGCCCGTACGAACAGTAGGCACTAGCGTGACCGTGCAAAGGACGTGCCCACAGAGGTGAGGGAGAGGGGGACAGCAAAGGCACCCAAATATTTTCGCTGCTCTGCTACTCCAGCTAGCTTTTGCTAGGGGGTAGTGGTAGTACCAGCAGCAGTAGTAGTATCAGCACCAGTACACTGGCATAGGGGGTTCAGTTCAACACTGACCACCGAGAGAATTGGTTTTGACAAAATCTTCTCCGTTCCGTGCCGCCGCTGGAGCCCAGCTCAGAAGAGCGTGATTAGTGCGAAGACTCGTCACAGTCTCACAGAAATGTCCTGAAGAAAAATCGGCGATGTGGCCAAGCCATCTTCCGGTCGGTGAGTAGGAACACAAACGGTTACGCGTGACGGTGTGTAATGGTGCTTGGGCAGCTCAAGCGTACGTGGGGCCTGGCCGTGCACGAGCTAGCTAAGAAAAAAAAAACGTCTTTCGGCCGCGGCCGGCCTTTCCCCGCACGTGTCCGGCAACGTCCCGATCAAGCCTGATGAGAGAGCGTGGCTGCCAAAGATGCCAAGCACAAGAGCAGCAGCAGCGGCAAAACGCTCGTAACGTAGAGGCTTAAATAAAGCTGTGATACGGGCAAAAAAGACACTGGTACAGTGCAGTGTTACTGCTCAGCGATCGGGCAAGATCGATCGATACATGGATGCTGGACAGATAGATGCTCGTACTCGTACGTCGTCGCAGCTGCAATGGCTAGGCTACTTCAAAAGAGGGCAGTACGTGTTGGAAAGAGGAAGAAAAGAGAATTCCCCATCTCCTTCCTAAAAGGACCAAAAGGACCCCGTGGCCTCCCTTCCTCCTCTTCCTCCATGCTCGAGTAAAGGCCTCTGGATATCACCAAAAGAATAGACACAAAGGGGACACGCCGTCTTTCCATGTATCCTTCCTGCTTCTCGCTCAGCACACCATACTCAAATCGTTCGATACACGTACAAGTACTAGTAAATCTTTCGTGTTTAACAATGCTACACGTCATGGAGCAGTAAAACGCAATTGCTGATTAGAGCAGGATTTGTTCTCCAACTGGGATTTATTATTACCTTCCCCTTTTGATGACGGAGGGGGGGGGGGGTGTGCCTCTTCCGTCTCTCATGTACAGTACAGCATAGTCAAAAAGGCCCAAGCGGAAAGAGGAATTTGCACTGCAGCAGTAGAACGGCAGTAGTGCAGTACGCCCCCGATCTCCTCCTCCTGCTCTCCCCACGAGAAAAGACGGCAAGTTTAACAACCCAAAGCAGGCTTTTCCTAATCCCACGCCCCTTTGTCAGGCGCTCATGCCGTCGTCCTCTTGACCGCGCCCGGCGAACCCAGCCCCAGCCAAGCCAAACCAAACCAACGGCCGGCTCGTCTCAATTCGACTTCGCCTTGTTGAATCGGCGAGTGTCCGTGTGAGATCTCTCGGCAGAAAACGGTGGCATCACGGTGTGCTGCTGCTGCATTTAACACCCGCACGGCGCCCGACGCCTCGGAACGGAGCCGAGGAAATCGCGGGCCGTATCGGGAACCCACGCATCGTCCAAACATCGCCGGCCGCCGCCCGCGTGTTGGGCCCCGGCTCGTCGTTTCATTGCAACACACACGCGACAAAAACAAAAACGAAACTCGCGGATATCTTAACGAATGGCTAATTACTGGTAACAAGATTGATGATACTAGTAGTAGTATTTGCTAATTACCGATAACTTAATTTTCTCGATGGTTTACAAAAAAACCATAACCCCAACAACATTGATCTCGTTTTATGCCTCTCTTTTGACTTTCTCATCTCTCTCGCCTCGTCAAGGCTTTCCCCCCTGACGAAGCGGTGGTGGGTGTTCTGCCGCAGCTAGACTGACGGGGAATCATTAACTCAACTCTCCTCTCCTCTAAAAACGAAAAAATAAAGAAGAAAAAAAAAAGAGAAAACGCAAACAAAATTGGGCCGGATTAGTCTCCTAATCCGGTGTTTTACAGTTCTTGCTGCTGCACTAGACGACGGGGATCTGGAACAGGTCGGTGATGTCTTGGAAGAAGTCGTCCACTTGTGCCGCCGCCGGCGATGGGGCGTCGTCGAGGTGGAGGTCCGGTGACCCATTGTTGCTGGAGAAGGGAGCCAGGGAGAAGGGCTCCACGGGGAGGTTGGACAAGAAGTCCAGCGGGGGCTCCGGGAAGTCGGCGAGGAGGTCGAAGTCGGTGTAGAGAGGTGGGAGCTCGCCGGCGAAGCCGCCGTCGTCGGAGAAGGAGCAGCCGAAGACGTCGACCGACTCGTCGGTCTCGCGGACGACGAGAGGCGGCGGCGGCGGCTGCTTCTTGTTGGCCGTGTCGGCGGTCGCGACGACGGCGGAGGGAGGGAAGGAACGGAGGACGGAGGTTGGGGAGGCCGCCGCGGCGTGGGATTCCTCGCCGGAGTCGTAGGAGGTGGCCGGGGAGGCGTTCTTGGACGCCCCCGGCGGCTGCGGGACGCGCTCGGCGACCTCGGGTGGGACGTCGAGGCTTGCCGAGTCCCCGGACTGGTTGAAGTTGGTGGTGGCGTCGCGGCCGCGTAGCTGGATGGCCGCCGTGTCGTACACCTTGGCGGCCTCCTCGGCGGTGTCGAACGTGCCGAGCCACACCCGCACCCGCCTCCACGGGTCGCGGATCTCCGCCGCGTACTTCCCCCACGGCCGCCTCCGCACGCCGCGGAACCGCGGCTCGGCGCCGTCCACCCCGCCGGCCTTCCTCTTCCTCCCAGCCGCCAACACCACCCTCGCCTTCGCGGCCTCCGCCATCTTCGCCGACACCGCGGCCGGGAACACCTCCTCGCCCTTCACCTTCACCGGCGGCACGGCCACCGCCGCCGCGCGCTGTAACCGAATCTCCTGCACGTAGCGCTTCACCCTCCGCCGCGCGGTCACCTCCTCCTCATCCTCATCGCTCGACGAGTCCGTCGCGTCGAAGTCATCACAGAACACCCTCACCCTCGTCGGCCCAACGCCGCCGCCGGCGCCACCACCACCCACCACAACCTTCCCCTTTCCCCCCTTCGCCGACGGCGTCGCCTCGACCGCCACCGCCAAGGACGTCACCTCGACATGCTCCGTCCTCTTGAGAGCCACAAACCCCTCCTCCATCTCCAAAGGCCACATCATCATCACTCCACTCGCATCAGACCCCAACTCCAATCCTCCACCACCACCACTCCAAAACCCTCAAGAAACCTCCTAAAACCCTCGCGGCCAAGAAGAAGCCAGCGCGCCACCCACCTACACCTCGAGGAACCACCCCTCCCAAAACCCACAAGGAGACGGGGGGGAAGGAAGGGAGGGAAAAGCGAACGACTTTTGGCGTGGAAGCGAGGAAGGGGACGAAGGCGATGAGGTATTGGTGGGATTTTTTCGGGGGAGGTGGTGCGATAGATGGATGGATGGGGGGAGGAGGAGAGAAGAAGAGGAACACGAAGGCGGAGATGTGTGCCTCTTCGCGTGTGTTTGTTGGTTGCTGTTGCTGTAGGCAGTGGACGACGATTCCTCCACTTTTATAGCATCGCAGAGCCCCATTTCAGGAAACCGCGATATTTTTTTCTTGTTTATTCTCTTCCATTTTTTTCTCTCTCTCTATCTCTCCGGGCGGAGTATTTCGGAGCCTTTTTCACACTCGGGCCCCAGCAAAATATTACATTTTGAGAAAATTGGAATTTCGATTTTTGGAGGAGGATGAAAAACAGGGTGGAAATAAATGAATGCCGTGCCTGCCTGGCTAAGCGGCAGTAAACTCTAACTACCTGGGGGCAGTACATTTTCGGGGTGGCAGTAATTATGGCGGCCCCACCTGTAAATGACTGGCCAGTGGCTGTGGGTTCCAACGGCACCGGGTCGTACCACGAGTGGGACCCACCTGTCAGTGAAGTGGGAAGGGAGGAGGGGAGATTCTAGCGAAGCCGCCGACGTGTGAGCTGTGACCGCGCAACAGCCCGCCGCATCTCGCGCGGGGCCACTGGATGGGCGACGCGTGGACACGGGCCCACCGGTCAGTGGCCTGCGTCAGGGGGTCAGGTGAGGCGTGGTGGTGGGGGTGTGTTTCCACGGTCAAATCTTTGGAGGGTTGTGAAAAGGCTGGATTTTTTTTATAGCTAGGTGTAATTCCGGAATTAAATTGGACCATGTCAAATATTATGCTATTATGCTGTTATTTTTTGGACTTTCCGTTACATATTTTCTCTTAAGTTGTTTTTGTTTTCTGTTTACCAAATCACGTATCTTTCGATTTTGCCTACCCGATTTGTGTGGACGAGGCTTCTTGGATGCCAAGGCAATGGGTACATAGCCCACAAGTTGAATAGGCAAATGTGATCTTCAAAATGTTGATATGCACTGAAAAAAGGTAATGTGCATATAAAAGATGTAGCGATTAAAATTTGAAAATCTTTTACGTGTGCTGCAGATGTGAATTTCAAGAAATAGTTTTTTTTCTTTGCGAATGTTGGGTGTATTTAAAATACTTACGTAGCTAGCAAATGACTATTGTAATAAACACGTTTAGCAATTGTAATAAACACTTTTGGTAAGTGAAACTGTAAATAGCTGTGCAATGATATAGGTATGCTTTTGCCAGTCAGCAAAATGATCTGTACTCTCTACTCATGGTTAGATTGTCCAAAACGTGTCAATTTTAGTTGGTTCCTGCAGTTAATAGAATGAACTGCTCCCAACCTAAGATTAAGAGGAAATTAATAAGTCATTCTTCTTGCATCTTTGCTCAAAAAAGTTAGTTGAAGTGATAATAACGTGTTACGCCATAACTCGAGAGTGGCTTGTTTTTCCTTTTCTCTTGTTGAAACTTTCGAGAGTGGCGTGTTAGTTTTATTTTTCTTTTGTAAGTATGAGATTCTACGAATAGCTAAGGGATGAACGACGGAGAGATCACCGCAAGAATAATGAACTGCCAGTTGTTAGTCATTAGCCAAGTGAAATTGGAGCCATATCTTAATTACAACAGAAAAAAAAATACAGAAGGCTCAATAAAACCTCGTAGCTGGCATCTTTAGTGGTTGAATATTTGAAAATGGCCAAAACAACTCATATTTAATGTCTACTGGTAACGTCTTCCATGCATATATAGTTGGACATGATGTAATCATCTATCTCTATGGTTAATATTTGCAGAGGAGAGCGCAATATTTTTTTGCAATGCTCATAAGTTTTGACCATTAACTGGAATAGTTGATGATCGATCAGTTGGCAACCCAAGAAAAAATCCACCCAAAACTTGTTTTCTTTAGCAGAAAAAAGAAAGCAATATATTAAATTTTATCAGCAAATTTAGCTTATGCGCTCGTATATATTTATTGATTTGTGATGTGCGTTGCAATTTTAAAATTTCATTAAATTTGGAATTTCATCCCGACATTAGATTGTCGTTTAGTACAATAGCAACTCGACAAAAAGGACATGGCGTTATACATAAAACTCACTAGTATTCAATTCTCGGGGCCATGACACAATTATTGTAGTAAAAAGCACGTAAAAAATTATGCTAATTGTTTACACTTTCTAAGTAAGGTATTATGTGCTTCATTACAAATGTAATATTGTGTCGAGAACATGAAATGAGCAAAAAATAAATCTATGGGCGCACACAACACGGAAAAATGTACTACGATGGTCATTCTATAGAATTTTTTAACTTTGATTTTGTTCATTCCTATGCCTATGCCTACACATGACTCGAGAGTTCACTAGAAACATATAGCACGCTTAGAAAAATATCAAGATAGACTCTGTTTATCTAAAAACAAATTACTCTTACTTATCATTTTTCTCAAAATTCGATGGTTGTAATCGTTTTCACCTTCTACATACCAAGTATAATTTCGCACCACTCGTAAAGACGTATTCCTCCTATTCCAAAAAAAACACAACTTTTGATGTTTGAATTTTGTCCTACAAAAACCAAGTTCTACCATCTTATCTACCATCAACCTATCCTCATACTATCTACCCTCAACCTATCACCATTATTACTTTCTTTAATAATGTGGAGCATTTTGGTAATTATTACTCTCCATTAAATTTAGTTTGGAATGCTAGAAATTATATTATTTTTTTTGGATGGAAGGAGTACGTGTTTACTGAGAATTATTTGCTGCAGTAGCACTTCTCATAGGACACTGTCAATAACCCCACATCGTCAGCTGCCAGAGAGGATGTTGTGAGTAAACTCAAAGGCCCACTGCCATGTAGGACCAGTTATCAGACACCTACAAGGACTTGGACCGACCGAGAAAGTCCCATATTGTTCCTTTTTTCCTACTCCTATTTAAAGCTTAGTACAAATGCAGCAGTACTACATTATACTACTACCTAAAATTGCTATCACGAAGAATGGTGTATTCTACGGACTCCTACCATATTTGACGCAAAAATTCAGTCTCATCCCTATGCATCACGGCCGGTTAGCAGCAGCTCACGTGTTCACCTCAGCATTAAACTACTCAAAACTCACCACCTCATATTTTTCTCTTATGTTTATGCTTACCAGAAAAAATGTTCGTGCGTTGCAACGAGTGAAGGTTATTTTCATCCTATTATTGTTATACAGTTTAGTTAGGGTGAAATTTACTGTAGGAATTTGATTAGATATATATTTTTTTAAGAAAATCATGAGCTGCAGTTAGGATCATCTCAAATTAGCATGCGATGTTTTTTTAATGAGATTTCTTATATGACGAATTTTGTATTTCTAAAAGTTAACGAACTTAAAAACCGACTCATATATATATATATATATATATATATATATATATATATATATATATATATATATATATATATGTATGTATTTCTAAAAGTGAACTTAAAAACTGACTCATACACGGATGACGTACTAAAGTACCAGCAAAAACATCTTCAATTTTTATAATAGTAGAGATAAGCTCAAATTTATTTTTTTACCTTAATTATTCAGTTGATTTTGATGTTTTTTAATCGTAGGTGTTTTTAAATCGATAAGGACACATGTATAAAAGTTTTATTTATAAATTATTTTTCATTTGTATATATACCATTTACCTTATTCGTTGAATAAGCTAAAGGATGACCCGTCAATATTTTTGGAAGGTAAAAAAGATCTCGGCCGGTGAGGGTCTGTGACTGTCATGTGGGCCCTACCCACGGCAAACGTTGAAAGACCGACACGGCGAGGCGAGCGGCGCGCTGCCGGCCTGGCGAAGCGTGCCCGGTCAGATTCGAGTTTGTAGTACTACCAGCTCACGGTAACCATATGTGGATCGACAACATTATTCACCGATACCCATGTACTTAAAAATTTACTCCCCGAGACGACCTCGGTGCCCGCGCGTTTGCGCGGTAAAAATACCCGCCGGGGCCCACACGTCGGCCACATCGCGCCCCTTGCTGCTCAAGAAAAAAAACAGCGGCCACCTTGCTGCTCCCTTGCATCACTGTCTCCACTACAGTAACTTTTTTTTTTCTTTTGGCATTCTCCACAGCTGTAGGTGAGTCACCGGGGACACGGCACGGTAGATGATCGGCGACGAGCCAACCCCCATGTGAGAGGGGCCGCTAATTTTAACAGTTTTTTTACACTACTTTGGCTATACTGGCCCATGTTACCCTGCTGTAACACTGCAGGCGACTGTGGTACGGAAGCAAATAGTTTTTCGGCCGCGGGCCGGGCTCCTCGATCGGTGCGGTAAAAAATTTCACAGAAAAAAAAATTCACCCACCATCCTTCCTTCCTTCCCCATCCCATCTGCCTCCCCCTCTTCCTCCTCCCGTGCCTGTCTTGTGACGCTGACGTGTACGAAACACCCGTATCTGAAGTTTCCTTCCTTCCTCTCGGTTTTTACCCCCGCGGTTTTCCCGTTGATAAGGTTTCTTTTTGTTTTGTTTTTTGTTTTTACAGTGACCCACACCAACACGCACCACCACACCGTTCACCTCAAACGACGCGCTAGTGCTGCTGCTACTGGCCCGTGTTGCCTTGGTGAACGCTGATGATACAGTTCGCACCCAATTGGTTCTTTCTCAGAATGCATCTTCTTCGCTCACCCGATTTGCTACAGTGCTTATAGTTCCGTAGCAGCGTTAAACCAAAGAAAAAGGAAGAAGAATGTTGTTTGCTTATAAGAATTTTACGTAATCTGAGACTCGTTTTGTCAGCACGTTCTTGGCATTAGACGTCGTAGTCTACCACTGTCCGTACGAGGCTACAGTATTATACTGTGTACAATAGAGTACGTACGTGCGGTGTACAGTACTCGTGCGGTACAGTATTTTTTGGTACACGTAGGGGGCTACGCTTGTCCTGTGTGTGGCTGTGTCCAAGGGCCCCGCGCACTCGCGGCCAATCATGAGCCGACCTGACACGAATATCCGCTGCAGATCACGGTCTTGTGAGGGGAACGGTCGCGATTCGCCGTCCCACCCGTTGGCTTTTGTGTGGACGGCGGAGATGACCCGTTGACGGGCCCCGCGTGACCTGCATGCGTGACCCACGGCCACAGC